GTAAGACCTCACCTGGAGTACTGCATCCAGCTCTGGAGCCCCCAACGTAAGAAGGACATGGACAAGGACCATGGAACGAGTCCAGAGGAGGGCCATGAAGATGTTCAGAGGGCTGGAGCACCTCTGCTGCGAAGACAGGCTGAGAGGTTGGAACTAGATGATCTTTAAGGTCCTTTCCAACCCAAACCATTCTATGATTCTAACAGAGAGAGAGGCAGAATTGCTTGATGCTTGCCCATACCAGTCTCCTGTGGTTTAGTCCCCAAACAACTTTTAGTCACTTTTTCTCTCTGAACATTGCCCTCTATTCCTTTATTATACATATAAATTCATTTGGGAAAGGGTTAACTTTTTATCTTTCCTCTTGAACATGAAATGAAAGGACACTTAGTCGTCTCCTGAACTCCCTCCTTCTGAAAGGAGGACAAATATTTCCCACAAAGGCTTGAGTAAGTACATGAGTTGCAACATTACCGATTCAAACGTTTTTATCTGCTCTATATTCAGTTTAGCATAGTACTCACTTCTAAAAACAGAATTCAGAAACTCACTGACCTATGTCTTCCATTCATTTCCAATCCCACCACAGGGCAAATAAAGCGTGCAGACTGGATGTCATCATATTTGTCACCTTTAATACTCTCTTTATCACCACTCCAAGCTGGATTATCTGCAAGGTTTAGTTCTGTTACATTCTGAAAAATAGAAACGCAAGCCTTCAGCTGTTTACTAATGATTTTTGAGCCATGATAACATTCCCTAAGACTTTTTTCATTGTGGTTTGCTATTTTTAACACTTTTAGTATATAGCGAGAACAGAAGCAAACTGAAGTTTTGTAGCACGTTTTAACTTTCATGGCACTCTTTAACATGAGGCACAACCTGCTTACCTTAATGCTCTTGATATGTGATGCAGCTTCCATAGGAGTCTTATCAGCTGACTTGTCCAACAAAAATTCAATGATGGCATCTTTATTATACAACCTGTAACATAACATTTTTAGTAGTCACAGATGATTCTCATAACATTCCTTTATTTATAAATTATTACCTTTTAATGTAGCAGTCTTTATGGAAACATTCATACCTGCCTAGCTCACAGGCTACAATTGGCCGACATAACTTCTCTTGACTCAGAGCACAGTAATACCATCTTGCCACCAATTCAGCATTTTTGTCAACCTGAAGAACAAAAATACTCATTATTTTAAAACAGCTTTTATATTTGCAAATTATTTAAACATAAAATCAAGTAACACTTGAATCATTAATCAAATTCCCAGGTATCTTACCAAACCTACTTTCTGCATTCAAAGCTATTCCGTAAAATAACTTCAGCAAAACCTTTTAGCAAAATTCATGAGCAGTTTCAAGGGTCTGCCTCTATCTATTGAGCATGTTTCTGCATCCTGGGACTTGGGACCTGTCTTCCTAACTCTAACCCAGTTTTCTTATTTTTTGCCGCTTCCACCCGTCCCCTTCCCTCTTTATTCTTTTTTGTTCTTCACATGTTCTCCACTACGCTCTTCTCTCTAGTTCTACATCTCATCCCTGCTTGGGTTAACTACCAGTCCCACTCCCTGTAAGGAACAAGATAACAACAAAAGCAAATCCGGGGGTGTCAGGATGCTACCTGAAGCTCCAGTCTAAAAAAAATAATTTTATGACATGTGAGGCCATAAAAGAAAGGCTGAGGTTCACAGCTACTCTAATAGTCAGGTTTGGGGAGGAAATGGATTTTATTTACCTATTTTGTATCAGCAAGTGTAATTTGCCCAAGTTTTCTGCCACTCGCTGTGAGATTTTCCCCAATCTTCGTCCACCTATCCACACATGTGATGCCACTGTATATCCATTACCCTAAAACATCCTAAAAAAGGGAGCCCAAGCAACATTCGGAATGCAAGCTGATGGAACGCGGAGATGGCCACGTTCAACATCACCAATGGTCTGGTCACGTTATTAAACAACCTACCAAAAGCGTTACCAGAAGATGCCGTGCCCCTAGATGAAGGAGGCCCCTAAGCCCCGCGCGTTCCGCAGAACGCCCAAAAGGACGTGTCCAGAAGGCAAGGGG